CCCCAAAACCCCAAAACCCCAAAACCCCAAAACCCCTTCAATTCCTTTAAAAATTGATATTTAAAAAACAAACAAGGGATGCTTACCTATACTATTAATCTTGGAAAGGTGGCATCCTGAATCCTATTTCTTCGAGATCGACTCTTAAATCTATGTGTGCTTACTTGAGTGAACTTACAGTCAATCCTTTCTTCAACTTCAAGCAAAGAGTAAAACTCTTCTTCTAATAGATCGCTATTGAGCTATAAATTAGTCATTGGGAAGTATACTTTTGAATCATGGCTTGTAAGTAACTTCCTTGCCTCTGTTAATTCCTGGGTTGAGAGGTTTTTATACTCCTCTTCTTGCCATTTAGAGGCATTTTGAATAACATCTGCCACCGCAGTTGTATCCTTACTATACTCTTGGACCCTTTCAAGCTCAAGATTCAAATTAAAGAATGCAGACTCAAGCATGTTTTGTTCTTGCTTTGAGAAGTCTATCTCATCTTCTCTTTTCCTAAAATAATTAATTAATCAGATACTTGATGTCATTAATAGTCTGTTGGATTCTTGATTCTATAACTGGAAGTTTCTCTTCCATTTCCTGGTGTTTTTCAATTACCAAGGAGAACTCTTCCTGAAGGTAGGTAATGATTGTCTGTATTCTTAATTCAAAGTAGCCTTACATCTCTTCAGGACTCTTCTAATGAAAATAATTCTGTTTTTCATTCGGAGTATTTTGTATTAATTTTATTTATTTTCTTGGTGATTTGCTCAAAGTCTTCAAAAGAAAGCTCCAAGTTTTCAGATCCAGGATTATTGGAGGCACCTCTAGAGATTTATTGACTAGCACTTACTCAATAGAATTAGACCCTTGCTGTAAGGTTTCTTCTAATTTCTCCATAATATCTTCAGTGTCATTGCTAAGCTGATTTAGTTGTTTTAGGAAGCCATTAGTAAAGGTCTCAATAGCTTGATGGGCATGAAATTGTCTCTGAAAGGTCTCGATTTCATCGTAAAGTACTTCAATTTGATCAGAAATATCTTTTATAATTCTTAATTTTTCTTGTATCTTCTCAAGCTCTACTTTCTCTGTATGGAAACTTTCTTCTTCAATTTCTGATTTCTCAAGTATTCTCTGTTGAAACTCTGGAGGCTCTATGCTATCTATATCTTTAGAGATCGATCTGAGCTTCTTGTGTGTCTTTTCAGCAGAATTACTATGTTTAGACTCAAATCGAGATCCATGCTCTTCACTATCCTCAAAGACATGAGCATGGAAGGACCCAAAATTACTATTATTAGAGAAGGGAATTTCGAGATGATCTGAATTGGTCCTCCCATGTGAGATTGGTGGGAGATGTCCTCGCTCAGAAGTCAGACCGTTACCTAGCTGTACTACAAAATTAAAGTATGTATTACCTTCAGTCTCATTGGAATTCTCCTTGGCGTCAGGGTTAAGGAAGCTTCTGTTCTTAACTGATTTATCTGATCCTACAATTGGTTGATCTTTACCGATTTCAGCCATCGATTTTGATGCAGGAAGATTTCTTACTACCTTAAGATTGTGGGTATCGATCTTCTCTCCATCTTGGAATTGGTGATCCGAGCCTGATCTGTTAGTTTGGTAGTTATCAATCTTTGTCTCTAGGAGTTAAAGTGAACAATACCCTGAATGAGATCCGCTCTTTTGTAACAAATTTCTCTAGCAAGAACAATTAAAAATGAGTTTAGAGGTCCAACTTCAGGAATGGTGCTTACTTTTGAGTACTATTTCCTTACTCTCATATCCTTGCGAGGTGAGGATTTACTCATATTTTTGTTCTTAAGTTCTAGCTGGGTTTGATCTAAATAAAAAAATTCATACCTTAAATAAATGATAAATTTAGTTAGAGATGAAATAGAATATAAAATTAACATAACCCAGAAACCTAGCCTCCAGTAATCCTAAACACATTTTATCAATACCCCCTCAAAAACTGCTCCTAATCCCTCAATATATCCAAATCCACCCCTCTGGCCCCAAAACCCCCATCCTTTCCATCCCAACCCCTACTACATCCCTTCAGTACTAATCCCTCAATCCCCTTCTTAATCCTCTCCCACTAAGCCTCCAAAATTTCAAAGAATTCTTCAGGAACAAAAATAAAAAATAGAGGACAGGAAGAATGTACTTTTGAAACATGTAAGGCAAGTTCCCATTTTTTTAGGTGGAAAAGTTCGATTTTTTATAGGATGAAGGGGTTTTGGGGTTTTGGGGTTTTGGGGTTTTGGGGTTTTGGGGTTTTGGGGTTTTGGGG